TAAGATCGAGGAGGGCACGCTATAATTATTCGTGCTTGTTGTATGTTCTGTCACATCATGGGGAGGATACCCTTGGATGTTATGTTTCTTCTGGCCGACGGAGGTCCCATGTTCTTGAAGGATGTTCTGGCATAGGTCCGACTGCAATCATCAAAAAACACTCAGGAGGAGGAGAAGCAGGAGGGAGGAGGGAGGAGGGAGGAGAAGGAGGAGGAGGAGGAGGAGAGAAGGAGGAGAAGGAGGGAGAAGGAGGAGAAGGAGGAGAAGATTGGAGAAGGGAGAAGGGAGGATAAGAGGAGGAGAAGGAGGAGAAGGATGAGAAGGAGGAGAAGGAGGAGGGAGGGAGGGAGGGAGGGAGGGAGGAGGAGGAGGGAGGGAGCAGGAGGAAGGAAGTAAGGATGGAGGAGAGGAGAGGAGGAAGGAGGAGGAGGAGGGAGGGAGGAGGAGGAGGAGAGGGAGGGAGGGAGGAGGGAGGGAGGAGGAAATACGGAGGAGGAAGGAAAAGGAGGAGTAGGAGGAGGAGGAGCAGGAGGAGGAGGAGGAGGAAAAATGGAGGAGGGAGGGAAAGGCGGAGGAGGAGGAGGAGAAGGAGGAGGAGGAGGAGGATAGGCGCCGAAAGTTTCGGGTGGGGATCGCTCGAAGCAGAATACTGCTTATGCCACTGTCTGTTCCCCGATGGTGGTGGCTGGCGGCTGCCGCAGCCCATGACGGCCAGGCTGCGGCGTCGTCCCGGTGGTGGGGCCGGGGTCGGGGCCGTCTGCGGCGACGGGGCGCGGCGCCCCGAAGCACGCTGGGGGGGACGCCCAGTTCGGACGCAACGACCCGGCCCGGACTCCCTCGGCAGGTCACACGCGCACACACACGCGCACGCACGCACGCACGCACACACATGCACGCACGCACAGACACAGACACAGACACAGACACAGACACAGACACAGACACAGACACAGACACAGACACAGACACAGACACAGACACAGACACAGACACAAACAAACAAACAAATCAAAAACACAGGCACGCACGCACACACGCACGAATGCACTCATGCACGCAAGCACACGCACACACACACACACAAACAGACACACACACACACACACACACATACACAAACAAAAAAGACGCATGCCGATTCTGCAAGCGGTCCTGGGGAGGGGGGGAGAAGGGACGGGGACGCCTCAGACGGGGTCGGCGACTCCGCTCGGGAAGGGCAGCGGCCTCGGCAGCAGCAGCCGCAGCGGCAGCGGCCGCCGCCGCAGCGGCGTCCGCAGCCGCCGGGCGGCCTCGGCGACGGCGACGGCGATGGCGGCCTCCGACGCCGCGGCCCGCGACGGCCACGGCGGCGGCGGCCGCTGCAGCGACCAGTGCAGCGGGGGGCGCGCGCGCGAGCGCCTCGAGGCCGCGCGGGCAGCGGAGCGAGCCAGCCCCGCTGCCCGCGGCAGAGCGAGGGGCCCGCCCCGCGAGGCACCGCGGCCGCGGGAGGGCGGGGGCCAAGCAGTGGCGAGGCGTCCTCCTCCCTCCTCCTCCTCCTCCTCCTCCTCCTCCTCCTCCTCCTCCTCCGCCCTCCCTCATCCCGCCCTCCCTCCCTCCCTCCCTCCCTCCCTCCCTCCCGCCCTCCCTTCCCCCCTCCCTCCCTCCCTCCTCCCTCCCTCCCTGCCTTCTCCTCCTCCTCCTGCTCCTCCTCCTCCTGCTCCTCCTCCTCGCGAGGGCGGGGGCCAAGCGGGGGGGTTGCTTCGAGTCCCGCCAGGACATGTTCTGAGAATCGAAGAAGAAAAAACGCCATGAACAGAAACTTGTTGGGCGCTCCGCGCGGATTTCTTGGGTCCGCGCTGGGCCCCCCGGGCAGCGCCTCCGACGCCGCCCTTGGCGCGCTCCTCGCGCCAGGGAGGGGGGTCCAGCGCAGATCCAAGAAACCCGAGCGGAGCGCCAAAAGTTTATAACAAAGGCGTTGCTTCTTCTTCTGGAAAACCTCGTGTGGGGTGCACGAGATATGCTCAGAACATGGTTGGCTGAGGCCGTCCTGTTTCAACGCGTCGGGTTGATGTTTTCAGAGCATCGCTCACTTTGTAATTAGCACGTTCCTGTTGTTCTAGGAGGAGTTCGTGGTAGGCCTCCAGGAATGCGGGGGTGGTCGGTCCCTGCTCAAAGAGGGGGGGCATCGGGGTCGCTGGTCGTTCTGGGGTTCGCCCAGAGACGCCGTCGTCGGAGGAGGTGGAGGTCTGGTTTCGGAGCGGATTCGCCGCCGAGGAAGGGCCGGAGGGTTCTGGGCGACGTCATCGTCGTCGTCGAGGAAGAGGAAGACGGATTTCTCAGACGCCGTCACCACGGAGGATGTGGAGGAGAAGGGGGGCCGTCGGTTTCGTGGAGGGAGAGAGGCATCGACGATCGGGTTTGGAGGGGCGTGTCTTTTCACCCTGGGAGGCCTCCCGACTTCCGGCAACTTCTGGAAGCGTCGTCGTCTTTGAGGATCGAAGTCCAGAGGTCGAGGTGTTGTACGCTGCTAGTAATTTTGAGCCTCATGGAGGGCCATCGTGGCCGCCGCTGGATCCCCGTCAGATTTCTGGCCAGAAGGCGCTGGTCCAGGGGTCATCCAGCGAGTCCGTCGTCACCGCCGACGATCGACGATCAAGGCTTCGGAGACCTCTAGAGACGTCGTCGAAGATCGAGGCCGGCGGGTTTGGGGCGCTTTGGGGGTAATGTTGCGGCCGGATCGCCTTCAAAAGTCTGATCACAACACGCCCCAAGACATGGCAGCAGGACGTCCAGCGGCGACGATCGAGGATCGAGGTGGTCGGAAGGTTTTCGGCTGAGGAGCAAGAGGGCTTTTGAGGCTTCTGGTGACTTCGGGCGACCCCCAGGGGCGTCGTCTTCGCCGCCGTCGAAGATGGAAGTCCTGGGATCGAGGTTAGGGAGAGTATGTTTTTCTGGTTTTATGTAATATCCCGGAGCGCCCACATGGCCTGCCACGGTTGGATCTCATTCAAATTCTGATCAGAATTCGCTCCAGGACATGTCCAGGGTACGTCCAGCGTCGTCGTCGTCGAGGATCGAGGTGGTCGGAAGGTTTTGGTTTCTGATCAGACACACCCTAGGACATGTCCAGGGGTCGTCCAGCGTCGTCGACACACCCTAGGACATGTCCAGGGGTCGTCCAGCGTCGTCGTTCTTGTCGAGGGTCGCGGGCCGAGGGCTTCGCAAGTTTGGGCCATTTCTTCAACTACCCGTGGACGCTTGTGGAGGCTTCTGAGAACCTTTCAACTTGCAGAGGCGGAGGACGTCGTGGTCGTCGTCATTGCTCTCATTCTCTTCGTCTTTGTCCCGTGCTCCTCGTCGCCGTCGTCGCTGCCGACGTCGTCGTCGTTGCTTGCCAACCCGAGAGGTCCCACGGCCGCAAGAGGCCGTTGCATCGCCGCCGTACGTCGACGCCTCCGCCGCCGCCGCCGCTGTACGTCCTCATCGTCGTCGACGCCGTCGCCGTCGCCCTAACCGCCGCCACCGCCGCGGAACTCTGTCGTCGTCGTCGTCGGTTTCGTCGTCGCCGCCGCCGCCGCTGCACGTCGTCCTCGCCGCTGTGTACGTCGTCGTCGCCGTCGCCGCTGCACGCCGTCGTCGCCGCCGCCCGCTGCACGCCGTCGGCGGCCGCCCGAGGCCCCGCGGCCGCGAGGGGCCACCCCCGCCCGCCCGGGAGCCCCCGCGCTGGGCGCGGCTGCCGTCGGTCGGCACGTGGCTGCGGGCCGGCTCGGGGCGCCCGAGCAGCTGCAGGGAGCCGCGTCGTCGTCGTCCGTCGTCCGTCGTCGTCGTCGCCGTCGTCCGTCATCCTTGTCAGTCGTCGTCGTCGTCGTCGTCGTCGTCGTCGTGGCGCCGCTCGGACGTGTGCATTGTTCCTGGCGAGGACCATCGAGGTGCAGACACACAGACACCAACAAGGCACGTCACGCACACAGACAAACGAGGAGTGGACGTCCGATTGATGGCAGAGGGTTGCTAGGCTACCTCAGCGTGCGCTCCCGCGAGCGGCCTGCACGACCCTGCACGCTCGTCGTCGTCGTCGTCGCCGCCGTGGTCGGCGTCGTCGCCGTCGTCGTCCGTCGTCGCCGCCGTGGTCGTCGCCGTCTTTGTCTTTGTCTTTGCGGGGCCATAAAGGCTGGGTAGCTCAAGGAGGGGCCGCTTCAGGCCACCCTCCACCAGAGGAGGGGCCGCCTCGGGCCACCTCCGCACCTCCAGGGAGCCCCAGGAGCAGGGGAAGAGCCCCGAAAAACCCTGGGCCCCACGGGTGCCAGGCGCGAAGCGCCGCGATTGCAAGCTCACGTACACATTCAAATACAAGAAATGCGAATGCACGGAGCAAACGGAAAAAGCGTCCGCACGCAAGGCTAACCGTCCTGCACTTGGGCCTCGGCAAGGACGAGGAGCCTCTCGAGCGCGAGCGAGGGCCCGTGAGCAGCACAGGCGATCGATGCTACCGAGAGGTCGTCCAAAAAGGCCCAGAGACCGCGGACGGGCTCGTCCACGCCGCCAGCCCTCCCTCCGCGCGGGGGGGCCTCCTCCGACTCCTCCTCGAAGGCCGTGCCGATGACGACGGGACGCAGGTCGAAGCGGACGCGGCGGGCGCGCCGCCCCGTGCTTGCACCTCGCTCCCTGCGGACGCGGCTGCCCTCGAAACCAGCGCCTGGACCAGTACCGCCAGCCACAGGAGCCGCGAGGGCCCCGCCGCCTCCCGAGAGGAGCGCCGCAGGGTGAGCGTGCAGGTACGCCAGAACCGCATTGCTGGCCTGTGGCGCCGCCTCCGACACCGAGCAGGTCGTATCCACTTCAGCGTCGGCAGCACCCACCTCCTGGTAGTCGAACTCGGCCGAGTCGGCCGCACTGCCCACGGGGCTGGAGACGGCCTCAACGTGACCACCACACGAGCCCGCGGAGCCTGTCGGCAGAGGCTCTCCAGCACCAGCCGCAGCGTCAGCACGCGCGTGAAGACCAGCCGAGGCGAAGACCACGGCGCCACACGTGCAGCGGATGCACACGGGGGGCAGCGGCTCCCAAGGCCCACCGCGCTGGACCGTGAGGAAGGCGTCCCGCGCCCGCGGCGGCCGCGCCTCCGCGCGTGCAGCACCGCTCGCAGTCCTGCTCTCCCAGCCGGCGCCGCCCAGCTGCTCCCAGACTCCTGGGGGGTGCCGCGGCCAGAACGGGGCAGCCTGCTCGCGAAGCACGGCCGGGTTGCCCTCCACGGCGCACAGCTTCCGCCCGAGCACCTCCGCGCCACCGACGCCCTGCAGACGAGCTTCGAGACGCGCACTCCTCTGCATCTGCCGAAGGCGCGCGGGCCGCGCCTCTGCCACGCTCTCGCCCTCGGCGTCGGCGTGTAGCGCGACGTTGCGCCTGAGCACGTCCTCGGGCGAGGGCGCCTCGCCCTTAAGGAGTGCGCGC